CATAAATCGAGAAATGAGTGAAAGTGAAAATTTTGCTGTGGTCCCTTAATTTTAATTTTCTTAATTTTTTTCCAGAGTTGTGTGTTACACGTAGCTATAATCAGTTAAACTGGAGTGCCGTAGTTTCACAAGCTACAAATGAGCTTCGAGTCCCTTAAGATTTGATATTGTGGCGCTGCTGAGGCCGTTTATGCGGCTTTGCTAGAGCAAGGTTCATCGATTTGACTCATCTGTGGGTTTCATTAGACTCCTACCAAAGGGAAAATCAGCCTGATGATTAGGGTTAATGATTAGATTTTCCCTGCAATGGATACAAATTGGGAAAGGTAATTTTATCATTCCGATAAGAAATAACGTTTTCTTAGAAATGCCATCTTAGGTGAAGAATCTTTTTAACTTAGTATATTGACGTAGGTCTTTTTTTTGCCCCCAAGCCTCTCAGGGGATTTGCATGCGGATCCTTCCCAGCTTTCTTAGTGTGAACAACACCATCATTCACAGGACCCCTTGTCAGTCAATTAACTCAAGAATGAAATGAGCTAAGTTTCACATCTCACTTCTACTCATCTCCCTGGGCTAGCTACCATTTGCGGCTTATATCGACCTTGGTGCCACACGAGGCTGCTGAGGGAAAGGCACGACGGCGCCCCACAAGGCCACGTGAGACTAACGCCTTCACGAAACTGTTACCCAGACAGTTCCAGGGCTGAAAGGTCCCGCTTTCGGCGGCAGAATGGAATTTCGCTCAGGACGACTGAATCCTGAATGCCTGACTACAGCCTAAACTCATGGAAACTTCCGGTCATTGATAATCTCTTAGAGTGAGCTCTTAATGTTATTGCTTGTTGGCATGATTCAAAGCCAACGCAACCTCATATGCGAATTTGTGCATTTTAATGCACTTTGCCCACTAAGGTCTTCACTGGAGTTTTTTTTGTCTGACTGTGCATCATTAACTAAAGCATTAACTATAATATGCTAGCCAACTAAAAAAAAAAGTAATTAATGTAATGAGGGTCATGTCACGACAGCCGAACACATTTTCAGATGTATCTGAAGGCGTCGGGACTTGCAGCAACTGTTTTGGCAGCCAAGTGGCCTGAACTCAATCACAATCACAGCAGGTGTACCCCAATTACAGAAGGGCCATTTTGAGTTTGGACATGCTTACGGCAGCTAATCTCGATCGTGCCTGTCATGTGACGGTGAGCGTCTAGGATAGCCAATAGGAATGCAGTTTAAACATGAAAAAGACATCAACTATTAGCTTCTGCTAATTGGTTGTTCTAACTAAACTGTAATATATTCCAAGCAGCCTGGGCAAAATGATCAGGCTGTCCTGATATCTTACAGCTGTGGCATAAGTGTGCGCCACATTTTGGCCAGACAATCCTGTCACAGTGGAATCACCAACATTACATTTATTAAGCAGGATTGTAGAGAATGGAGCCTTATTGAGTACGGCTGGCCGAACAAAGGCTGGGAAGCGGCCAAACTGGGTGTGTTTATCATCCTCGCTCTCGTGACGTGGCGGACCGCGACTCACACCGTGACTCCACGTCTCCCGCGAAGCGCTGCCCACCCGCCCCAGCCGCTCGCCTCCCATCCGCTTTGTTTTGCTTCGCCATGTTACCATGACGATGAGCGGAGCGCAACAGGGGCAAGGAGAAGCTAGTCACTGAATGGTGAGCCTGTCATGAAACGGGTCTGCTGTAAATGTAGGCCGCTGGTGGGGGGGGGGGGGGGTTGTGTAAACTCAGGTTCCGTAAACCCAGCCAGCCAGGATGCGTTTCACCTTATGTGGAACCGCTGTGTGACTTTCACCTGAGGAAGAGAAACTAGAGACTGGAGACGTGGCATATGAAATATCACATCACAAGGGCTGCCACACAAATGTGACTAGGTCAGCAGGAAGTCTCTAAGAACATGCACACACGTGCAAGAGTAATTAGCGGTTAGCTTCGAGTACAGACTACCTTACTTTAAAATTAGCTTCTGACAAACTATAACCTCTCATCAAAAAATAAAAATTACATAGTTCCTTTCAGCATATTTAATACCTCCTTTCAAATTCCCAAGCAGACATATTATAATGGATCAGTGCCTGACTGACATGTGACCCCATGATGCCAGTATAAGGACCACTTCCCACTACGTGTGGTTATGGCAGATATAAATAAGGCTAAGGGAGGGTGGGGGGAGGGAAGGCCGAGTGCGTTGGCTCATTAGACCGGTGCTTAATCAAACTGCTAACGAGGCACCTCCTGGGAGTACAGGGCTTTCATTACGCATCTCTGAGAAAGGTCAGCGCTCCCTCGCGATGCACACCTCCAGGTGAGAAGCACACGCCGCGGATGGGCATAGAACAGACAGCCTCTGTCCCCTCAGGACCCAGTGTGCCAGCCGGGCGAGTCGCTCTAACCAAACCCCGCAAACATCCACCGTTCCACTAATTGTGTTTTCAGCTCCAGAATCCATGTTCTCTCATCTGTCCAACAATCTGACTTCATCACTTATTTACATGCAACTTTATCTTCAGGATTGTGCCACGGCAATAAACACTGGTTAAGGAACCAAACCTACAACCAGCTTATAGTTTGTTTCATTTATTTAAATTGTACAAACCATCCTCTTTGGAGCATCTGGCACCTGATATGAAAAGTACACTGTAGGAAGACGTCCCAGTGTGCATATTATTGAATAAAATCAAGGAAAACAATCATTTGTCCTGGTGTTTGAACTGAAATTCAGATTGCGTGTTTATTTGTAAAAGCCGCTGATTGCGACTGAACAGCTTCGACGTCGTTCTCATGACACAAGAAAACAGGAAGTTAGATACACCAGCGTGACACAAAACAAGAATCTTCTGCTAGAACCAATAGCAGAGGTGAGAAATACAGAAGGGGAGAGGAAGAGCTGGGTGTGGTATGAGCTGGTCACCCTGTCCTTCAGCAGAGAGAGGAACCTCCTCACGTCTCACATGCCCTACTGTCCTACCCATAACGCTCACTCGATAACACCCCTGGACAACGGCATCAAAAGGTGAGCCATTACCGACACTGACGTGACCGTTCCCATTTCAGAAACGCCAGCCAACAGGGATGATCTCAAGGTAGTCTCTAAGGCAGGGTTCTTCAACTCTGGACCTCGATTCCAAATCCAGGCCGTGTTTTCAGTTCTCCCAGGTAGTTGTTTAATAATTACTGATTCTGATTGGTCAGAGGCTTCGCACCTGACTGACAGGTAAAGGATGGCCGGAAAACCAGCAGTGCTCGGACCTCGAGGACCGTGAGTTGAATAACCCTGCTCTAAGGCCTTTTTAAAGCTTTGGAATTAACATCAAAACTTTTGCTTAAATTTTCCACTTTCGCCTGTCTGCTTATTTGATAAGTACTGTGTGTGATGTCCTCATTAATTGTATCGTGTTTGTATCTAGAGCAGATCCAAGTGCAGCAAGATGAATTACATGTTCAGAGTAACGTACCTGCCAAATAAGTCTAATTACAGCTCAGATCATTTATCATCGCAGCCGATAGTGGCTCTTCGGTGAAACGAGCGGTGAGATTGAGAAACAAGACACTCTCATCTCACTGTATACCTGCATGCAAGATCAGTTATTTATTTCAACTTCTATATTATTAAAAGAACGTACCCACTACACTGAACAGTGACTTCACATCCAGAACAGTGTGGGGTTACGTCCCTCAGTACAGTACTGCCGCTCTACCGCAGCGAAAAGCATTCAGACAGACTAATGTGGGCCATCCAGTAGCAATTGAGCGATTCTATAGACTGCAAACTACAGCATGTCTTCTCCTTGAAATTGTGAACTAAGCAAATCGATATAACGGCTGAGAGAGAGAGCCGGGCTGTTGCCATAGAAGCCGCGCAAGCAGAGGACCCTGTTCAGACGGCGTGAAACGAAGTTCCCCGAGCTGGCAGGATGTCAGAAGGTAAGATAGGAGGGAGCTGCTTGCTGCCCCCCCCCTGCACGGGCAGAGAGGATTAAGCACGTTTTAGGGGACATCATCAACGTCCCTTCCAGGACCCACAGAGTACAGGTCCTACCCGGGGTGCAAACCACTTTGCTCTGAAATTGCTGTGTGCAATTCTCCTTATTTAAAACACACCCCTGGAACGCCTAAGTATTGCAAAAAATACGGTATAATGATTTATTAGGGCTACCCCATTTCTGAAATACTGCTTTATATCTGAGCAGCCTGTCCTTCCTATAATGCTGATAAATCAGCCCACACTACACGATCTGATGCACATTATACGATACTGAACGTCTCCACTGTGAAATCAGTCAAAATCGTTTTGGAGGCGCTTCAACTTCTAGGACATTTTAACTGCAAGGTAAAACTCGGAGAGGGTTTGTGAGAAAAAGAGGTAAGAGGAAAAAAATAATACTTCAGTTAATTTGCTATGCGCAATTTAATATTAATTATGTAAAGTTAATTTTTGAAATCTGTTCAAGTTTCCATAAAGTTTTAATCTTTCCTTGCTCCTATCAGCTACAATGACTGTATACGCCTCCCAGTAACAAGTACTCGGAATAGTCTATTTAATTTTAAACTTTCAAATACTTGGACTTGGATATGATAGCTTTAATCTTTAATTGTTACTTTATATGAACGAACACATCAGTAGAGAGTTGATGTTTTACTATGTATTAATATGTTAAATCGATCAGTTGTGCCTTGTGAAAAGGGTAACTTGGTAAAAAAAATATATATTTAAAAATTAGAATATACGTGTATTCACTTCGACCGTTTCTTGTGAGTCTGGACTTGGAACGAATAGTCTCTTAATGATAAATAGACCGATGAGCTAAATAAGATGAACGGTTGGGAGAATGATAAACCATTTAAAAAGCTGGGTAACTAACGATTAGTGTTTCCAAGGAAATCCATTATTGACGTAGAACATCTAAATGGATCATTCAGAACGATGTGCCTCAAAGAAAGAGGAGTGAAACACGTGTATGTCCGACTTACCTTAGGATTCAGGACTAACTGCTGCTCGTCAAAATGCAGCAGGGCTCTGGAGTTGGACTCGGAGTTATTGACGAAGACTTGCAGGCAGGGATAGAGCGACGTGCCTTTGCAATCCACCCCGCAGTTGAACACACACTCGAACATCTCCTCCACCTTCTGCACGGATATCACGGTGCAGTTCACCGGCTTGCTCTGCATGTTCTGCAGGGTGGGGCTCAGCAAGCAAAACGCCAGGATAAAGAGGGACAGGATCCCGAAAACGATAAGGAACAGACCGAGCCGGATGCTCTTATCCTCCGCCTCCGAGTACTCATAAGAGACCCTGGTTTTCGCCATCTGTTGTCGTCCGTGCGGCGGTCAGGCGCATGAAACAAGTTGAATGTGACGGAGAGGGGGGGTCTCTCTCGGAGCCACGATCTGTGCACCCCCTCGTAAGAGTACCTCCCCACCCCTCTGAACTGCCTGTTTACACTATCCAGACAGAACTTGGCAATAGCGACGTTTTTTTTTCTTTGCTAAAAACGCTCCCTCTCTTACGCGCGTGATTTCCGACTCCGATCACGCCGGTGCGTCCACATCTGGACTTTATTTAAAGGATGAAGGTCACATCTGGGTCCGGTAAGCTTCTTATTCAGAAATAGCAGTTTCCCCGTAAACACGTCCCTTGATTGGCGATCAGAGGATCGCAGCGGCGGCCGCGCTCATCCCCACCGCGAGCTGCCGCTACAGGAGACGCTCCGGCTCTGGCGCACCAGCTGCTCCCGCTTTAAGCCCAGTGTTCTGGTGAGATCAGTTCAAAAGTTAGAAACTCCAATCAAAGCCCATAAGATTTTTTTGCAATGGGATACAGAATCTGAAACTTTATACAGTGGAATTTAAAATATACTTCTGTTTTGCTGTATTATTCACATTAGTATCAAAGGTTGCCTTGGGAGACACGGGGAAGATAAAAGTGGAATATATGCAACAGTATAAATTATTAGGCTATATTGAAGTAATAGATCCCCATCTATATATAGCCTAATACGCGTCATTTAAAGAATTCGAATGGTACTGTCCGACATTCTCTGTCTGGGAAGTCAGAATATCCTATATTTGTAAGTGGGTCTTATTTATTATAAATTAATTCCCCATAGGTGAATCAACTTATCGGCTCGAAAAATAGGTCCTTCTTCTGTCCTACATTTACATTTGGCGACGTGTGGAGAATATGTTGGTTTTCTCAAGTTTGTTGAGAATCTGGGATGTTTAACTACGAATGTTAATCTGTATTGATAACCCCCGTTTACTAGTTTAATTGCAACTTTGTTCTGGGTTGTCCGCCTTACCTAACGGGTTTGTTTTGTTTATTTTTAAACACAACAGACAGGAATAATAAATACGGAAAATGTTTACTTGGCAAAGCTCAGACTACAAAGTCACTTTCAGCCTCATAAACCCATGTGTGTACAAATGAATATTTACGCACTCCATTCCCTTGCTACCAAAAGATCCATAATTACATTAGAAAAGTGTCTTATTCAGAGTGTAAAACTGAAAGCTCCTTCTGCCTTAAGGTAATCCAACACGTACCGTTCACTCTCCGTTATTTTAATTCATATTGGTACCAGTTTGAAATTATTTTTTTTAATTATTTTGATAAATCAGTAACAACATGTCAGAACAGACCTGTGGTGAGCAGTAGATCAAATGGGATCGTCATGAAAGACATGTTAAAAACGTTTTAATCACAGAAAAAGATTCAGTATTCCCTCTCGAGATCTCTCTCGGACAACAGTCACAATAAGTCACCTTGCATAGTCCTTTTTATTACACCCGCATACGCTCATTTAATGTTAAAAGCAAATACAGTACAGCAGCTGCAGATATTTGGCTCCTAACAGCGTCTGACAAGAGCCCTATAAGAATTGATCATGATCTTCTGGCAGGATATACGGGCACAGCACTGGCAGTAATGTGGGTCACGTTTGATTCAAAGCGGGCTGCAGCCCCAGCGAGCTGGCGGCCGGACGCGGACAATGAAGAGCAGCACGACCGGTCGATAAGTGTACGGATGAATATGAGAAACTGGAAGTGGGCCTGGCATAGGCCTAGATTTCTTTGAAGGGCATCGTCGAGATAACTTTTAGCATTTTTCTTTATTTGAAGGTTGCTGTAGATTAAGAGTAAAGAAGTGTTTCTTCCACGAAAACAAATAAATATGGATGACAAAGGTGTTCGTATGGGAATTGGCGTCTTGGATCCAAGGTGTAGTATCTCCCTACATCCTGCCCATACAACGGAAGATGCGTTTGACATCATCTCAAGTGATCATCACCAACGCCGGACGTTTCGGGTTGAGCTACATTCAGTCCGTAAATCATATGACCACAACGCGTTTTAAGACGGCTGTGACCTATTTAAATAACATCACGGTGATATAAAATGTTTTATTTTAAGCTCCGCTGTTTTCAACCTGGATCTGCGTATCCCTCTGCCCAGACATGTGCTTTCATCAGGCCTATGTTCAGATTTCGGGCATCCCAGCAGATAGGAAGCACCCTATTGTGTTGAGGACTTCAGTTTTATTGTAGTTCTTCACCTCAATGTTTGTGGATACAATGCGATTCATTCCAAATAATATAATAAACCTAAGCCTATATATTGACTTTTTCCCGATCGTCACAATTGCATCAAATCAAATATCAGACAAGGATTGTGTATGCCGATGTAATTTCATTTATCTATTAGAGCTCGTGTGACTTAACTGTTATTTTCATCTGTCTATTTATCTAGCTAGTTGTTTTACTTCGGAGCACAATGATGTTCCACAGCAACTATGAAGAAGATGCACTTTAATTACTCTGTAACTGATTACTGCTAAATTGACTCCGCTCTCATAATCGCATGAGATTACTTCCCTCGGTGGTGGACTTTTCTCAGAGCTCGACAGAACTCCAGTTTAAACACACTGACCCAAAATACCCTTCACGGCTTCACCGTAGCTCGCCGCCTAGAACCACGGCCAGAAGCGACTTGCCTGCTCATGTTAAGCGCATGCACCTCCGAGGAACGACGCAAGGGGGCAGCACGTAATTTAAGCGCTATGGCGCTGTGTCAGCGGTCTCATGCAAAGTAATATAATTAAATATTAGCAGTCATTTCTCTTATACAAATCGGATAGGCCGACATAATGTACTAACATCAAAGACTGCACGGGAATTCTGTGAGGATAATTATATTAAATAAAACTCGAATGTGTATTTGCAGGGAGAGAAAACAAGATTCAAACAGCAGGTCTAATGCATAGCTTGCACAAACTCCCATTTAGTTCATTTTAATATTGCAGTCACATTATACAATCTCTGCCTATCGGCACGCAAAGATTATTACTGAGTTAAAAGCGGTTGATATGGACCGGTTCATAGAAACACCACTAACTTCTCCTTTCCAGTTTGAAGCGCAGGACAAACATATGGAGGTTTACACGGCCAAGGGTGTAAAATTGCCACCTGACCTCAAAGGCAAAACGACACGGCGGCATTTAGTAATGCGGCCAGTGCATATAAACCTCGGCGGGGTGACTTCTGGGGGATGTCGTTTAACTTTCTACTCGCCATCAGGGTCTCATTTGAGAGTACACAGCCCCATCATGTGGACAAACATTGTGGTGCAGTACGCACCGAAAAGTCCAATGTGTGACATTTCAGAGAAGAAAAACACAAATAAACCGGGGAAAGCCGACCACGTGCACAAATACCACACTGCTGTTATGCCCCAAATAGGCCACCGCAGCATTAGAACTGCTTACTCAGTAGCCATAAATGTGTTAGATACATTTGGTCCTTATGTTTGCACGGTCCACAAAGTAATAAACTGCTGGCATGAGATTCCAAGCAAATGTTTAACTGGCATAAACAAAATTTGTAAACAGTGCATTGTGCAGCTGGCAAACAGAAGCAAATACAAACTGAAGTCGAAGTGCAAAACCGCTTGTTCGAAAAGACAGAAGTACAACAGGACAGGAAAAATAAGCAGACATGAAAGGTAAATATTTTGGTACACTATTTGATATTAAATGACTACTGGAAATAACTACACAAGCATTTTAGCTACACACTTCACCCTAAAATCAGGGAGTGGACCTTAAACTAAACATGTTCTTACCTTTACAGAATAGATGTTTAGGGGTCTTGGACTGAAGGTCTTTACAAACCACTGGGGGAATATCCAGTGCATCCTGTGGTTGTCATTGGTGAGATTTAATTTTTTGCATGTGCAAAGAGAAAGTAAAGAAGCAAGCAGATTAATGACAGAAACATTACTAAACCGATCTGGTAACAGAATCTAACTGCAGGAAACATTACTTGTTTATATCTGGTGAACACACAGGTGAGAGCCGAGTCATTTTTAATGAGAAAATTAGGCTTTCCTTCGTAACCCCAGTGCTATAAGGTCAAGTTCAAGTCTTGTCTTCACTGCCAGCCTGAAATTCAGCACCCATCAGGAGTGCCCTGGTTAAAATATTCGACGAAAGCGACCCTCTCCAGGCTGATGAACCTGGAGAGAAGGTACAGTCCTCCCTCAACAAAAGTTTCAAACAAATGCAGTATTAAAATTCAGGTAAAATAAACCATCACTATTAAAGTTATTTAAGAAGTTAAAGTATATACTTATGCACACATCCTCCTCCTGTTCATTGTAAGAATATTTACAGAGACTTCAGGGTGCAAATTGGCACAGATAGTTTGTGTCATTCTTACAGTGTTACTAACCGGGGATCCCTGACAATTGGTCAGCTATAACACTGAAGTCATCTGTTAGTCCCCGCAACGTTTCAACAGAGGTCTGAGACTTGAAAACACAAATGGGGAACAAAGAAATGGGAGAGAGATCAGAATCACACAACCTGAACAAGCTCTTGAGCCGCAAGTGTTGGCAGCAGCGAAGAGTGACAGGCTGAGAGACCAGACATGTCACACCTCCTGTGGTACTTTTTACAAACCCCCGCCCCTTTAACCCCCACCTCACCAGCTTCTGGACAGAAATACAGTATAGTCCAGCACAGACTCCCAGCTAGACATGCAGGTGAGAGGAGGCATCGCGGCAAATGACAGTCAAGGCTATGCGGGTCAATGCAGCCAAATCTAGTGGCTGACCTTTGGCCTCCGACACTCTTAAAAGCCTGAGAAGAGCAAGCCCTCCAGTCAGCCCCCTGAAATCAAACTCCACACTTCATTCAGAAGAGCCTTTCTACTTTATTACAAAGAAAAGAAGCTTGAACGCGATCAGAAAATACAAGGTAGATCTGTTTCGATTTTTTTTTTTATTGGTTTTTCTTTTCCTATGAAATGCTGCCGCGTAAACAGCCAGAGTGAAACGCTCTCAGTCCTCCGTCCCCGAGATGCTGACTTGTTTGCTTGGATATGCATGTCCTTGGTTCGCTGAAAATCTGGCCCTTTTTTGCCATCTGTTGTCGTCGTTTTAAATTGAAAAGTGCACAGGGTGGCGAGCGAGACCCTCCCTGCCCCCCGGCCCCCTTCCAGCAGCTCCAGAAATGTCCCGTTTCATCCACATATTGCATCTGTGCACACCTCCTAAAAAACGAGGTATGGCAGGCAACATTTTTTTGTCTCCAAAATAGATGTCATATATATATAATATATACACATTCGTACATACATATCTTTATTCATGTGATGTCCAAAAATTAAAAAAAAATGTACACGTTTATTACAAAATTGTAACAAAGACTGGACAGTGTTTCGCTCATTCTGGAACAACGCAGCTCAGTAAATTCACAACCCACCGGAGAAGATTGTCCACAGGCTGTGACATCGTTCGCTAAAACAGTCTCATATATATATTTTTTTTTTAACTTGTTTTTTTTTTTCTCCGAGGCAGAAAATGCCCTTCAGAAAAGTGTGTGTGAGGTGTGTGGAGCAGAAGCGAAGGAATGTATCAGAGAGCGAAGGGGACAGCGAAAAATGGGCGACGTAACGAGAGAGTGTTCACATAGAAAATGCACCAAGATCTCCTGCGGTTTTTTTTTATGACCAAATAGTTGCACGACAAACATTGCATCTTCCCCTATCCTTGTTTTATGCTGCAGTTTCACTTTGTGGGTAGTTTTGCCCTCCTTTCCCAGTTTTAACACTGGAATACTAAACTTTGTTCTGTTATTGTGTGCGTGTGTGAGTGAGTGTGTCAAACGTCAGTTATCCTGCCTCTGTCCAAGGACGTGTATCTGAAATGAGGCGTAAACACAATTCAGACCCTGTTCAAAAAAGAAATGAATGAGGGAAAACAAAAAAGGGTAGGAATAAAAACGGAACAAGCGTTGACGTTTGGGCAGCACGTAATTCTTAAGGCAGAGCCCCTCTCACTGCCCAATCCCCACCCAGCCCCCCCCCCCCCCCCCCCCCCCCCCCCCCCCCCCCCCCCCCCCCCCCCCACCCACCCCAAATTGGAGACCCCTCTCTGCCTAAATCAATTGCCACATCCTCAAGGAATAAAAACCGAAGGCCAAGGGCCTGGCAGGTGCCGTGCCGGGGTAGCCACACCCCCCGAGCGGGGCCGTCCCTCAGAAGGCCTGCTGCGCGGGGTTGTAGTTGAAGGTCGACGGAACGTGGGGCCTCTCTTCTAGCTTGTCATATTCCAAGTGAAACTCCTGGGGGCATGAAGAGACAGGGGGCACTGGTGACGACAGTGAGCTCACAATGGCACAGACTCCACGCGAGCGAAGCCGCCCGCTTCTGGCGGCTACCTGCTGTAAGCCATCCTGACACTGCAGAAGAGGTCTGTGGAGCACAGACCTCACACTCAGATCTGTGAGGAGCCATTTTCAGACAGCCATGTAAAGGTGAGACACTCATTCATTTCTATTGGCATAATCCTAACTATGACACCCTTTAATCAGCCCTAACCTTAACCATAAGTAACCAAACAAATAGACTTGTGACATTTTCTGTTGTTTGATTACAGTCACAGATTTTTATACAATCGAGTTTCCCCTTGTGAGGACCGAAAACAGTCCCCACAACTTCAAAATAACATGGTTTTTATCACATTGTGGGGACATTTGGTCGTAGTAACTCCACTGCAGAGGCAACAGGGTGACAGTGTCACCGCAGGCGTATCCAGGAGGCCCGTGTGCTTCCGCCCCTGTAAGAACCCTCTTCCTGTGATCGGAAGGTCGCCAGTTTAAATCCCGGGGCCAGTGGAGTGATGTCACCTGGCTGACCCTGCTGTAGAGTCCTCATCTATTTTTGGATAAAAGGATCTGCTAAAGGAATGTAACGTAATGTTGACACGCATGCTGAAGCATTCTGCCTGCTGGCATTAGCAGCTATCACAACAACAACAACAACTATTGTTATTATTATTATTATTATTATTATTATTATTAATAATAATTGTATTTATAGGACAGCCCCTCGACCCTCTCCGGGACAAACAGCTGGAAGATGGATGGCTGGTCGAAGGGATTTAAAATCCCAGCTAATGTATAGCATGCATCTGGGGTCGGGTTTTCAGTGTGGATTTTAACCAAAAGTGAGCCCTTTTGACAGAGGATAACAGCTTGTAACATCAATCATCATCAAATACAAACATCTGTGACAGGACGTGTTGATTACTACACGTTTGGCTGGAGAGAACAGAGGTAAAGGAGTGGAGTCCTTCAGTGCTGTGACACTGAACGCTTCACCTCTTATCGGAAATACACTGGACACCACAAGCTTCGCAGACGTCTGCACAAGTTAACTCTGATGGCAGCTAAGACACGAGACGGAGCGAAAACGAGTGTGGTCTCTGGTGCCCAACATCTGGAGCCGAGTTACTGTCTGAAGACAGTGATGGATTTTAATAGATGAGAAACAAATAGGCCAACATGGACTGTGGTGAAAGATCAGTGTGTAACGGGATAGGATACTCAAGCCAATACCTTTACCTTTGCCACCTTCCTCCAGTTAAGACAATCGAAGAAGTAGTATGTTCCCCGTTCGTAGGTGTTGGTCTTTAAAGTGGGCTCCATGCCGGGCGCCCGCGTGATCCACACTCGCTCCTCTTTGTGGTACCTCCAGTCCCGATTAAAGCTGAGATTGGAGAGAGAATTCAAAGCCTTGTCAGCTTAAGCAACAAACCTGCTTGCCATGCACGTCACCCAGCTTATCCTGAATTCCTCCACAGACCCACTCTCATTCTCCTGGTGGTTTTACGACAAGATAGCTCACCTTTGTACGGAGCTACTTCCTCTTTCTACATTAGTTTTGCAGTCATCTACAGAAGAATGAACAGGGTTCCTCCAAGTGGAATCCAGCTGGCTGCTAATTGGTCATGAACCTATTCGCTAAATTTCTGTTTGTCACTTCAAATCATAAGGCTTCAATCATAATGCGTCATCGATATTTTAAATCGACGGATCTTTTTTTGTTTATTTGAATGAAATTACCATTATGATTTCTAAAACGCCATAGAGTTATTAAAGCCATAAAGTTGTCTGCCTGTTACCTTAGAACCTCCATTGAATAAGAGTCTGGGCTTATCCTATGTGGACGGAGCTAGTGTAGCTCGGACCAATGTTATCATAAACTAAAACTGAAATGAAAATGAACACTAAATAAAAGCAAATAATTCATGAACTGAAATAAAAATGAAAACTATATGACTTTAATCAGCAAAAATTAGCGCCACACCAACATCTGTTTACCTTGTTTATCCACAATATCTCCTCTTTTAAAAGATGTTGTGGCTGCTGATCTGTCCCTTTCTTCACCGCCACTTCAGTGCTTATCGCTTCTATGATTTACCAAAACAGTTGCATGGGGCGCTTCGCTAACAGGGTTTAATGAGCGTAAGGATACGCCAAATTTTACAGATTAGTAACATATAGGCGTCACAATACGCATCTCATTAATATACTACCAATTTGCTTATTGAATTGTGGGCGATAATAATGTCCGTATTGTGCCGAAAAGTCCATTATCTAAAACCCAGCAATAACATGCAATTTTCTGTTGTCAAAAAAAAAAAAAAACTTAAATGAAACAGTCTATTTGATTTTGTGGAGGAAAAAATCATTTGGATGAACTGACCAATTGGTAAAATATTCGATAGATTAATCCAAAGTAAAATCGACATTAGTGGAAGCCCTAAATTACAGGAGCTGAGAAGAATTAGCACAGAAGTATAAATGAATAAATAACTTGATAGCGGGTCCATTTGCTGCTAAAACAAATACTCTTCTATACCAACACCAGTCACCTTAATGTTTAGTTCTCAGCATTTCTGACTGAGTGCCACAGGGACTCCACTATGCCAAAGCAAAAGAGTTTCTCCTCCTGCACACACGGTGGCGCTGTGAGAAAATGAGCCAGAGAGGAGTCCACAAGTTCCAAATGACTACACCACAATCTTCAAAAAGTCCAAACTCCTCATGACCAAAGTATACTTCTACCTTGAGGTGGCAACTTTAGGTCCTGTAGGTTCTGTGTCAGGTGAGTCACCTAACCTAATGTTTCAGGTGTCAGTCTGGTGATAACTGACACAGACTGTGTACAGCCAATGGACTTTTAAGACTCTGACATTCGTTAAAATTGATAAGCAACACTTGCGACTGGATCAAAATCTCCAGTAAGACATACTGCTGCTACTGATATAAAAATTAATATTAAATTCTCGGGATATAGGTGTATTGAGAAAGGAAACCAGCAGATCTCTGTATGTACTTTTCATACTGAGCGCAAGGCCAGGGACACTGCGATGACAGTGGCACACATGGCCCCGTACTACACAGCACAGTGTGGTCTAACACATGCGACCCATCAGGGTGCCAAAGGACACTAAGCCGAAAAGCCAGATGGATCCTCCCCATAGAACCATCAGAGCTCCCACAATCCCTCATGTTCCGTCACGCCCACTGATTCATGTGTCAGGTGGCACCCAGAAACACAACTGAGCTTCAGCTCTGCAGCACCGAGGCTCCAAGGATCCGTTCACACTGCCCAGTATACCAGCCAGGGCAGAAACCAGTCAGCCTCTGGGTGAGAAGCCATCGGCCCCCATTTCACATGTCTTTTAGAATAAAAGATACAATATCACACTAAACAGATTAAGAAATACACCCATACCTCATACAAAAAAAAAGAATGGAAGAAATGTAATATTTACTTAAAAGCTTTACAAGTCAGTTACTCAATACACACGTGATCAGCTACTCTTTAAAGCACCGCTGTGGATGTGAGCACCATTAAGGGCATCCATGATTACACACCGCACTCTGACCATTTGAGAAGCCCTCCATTTTCACCCCAGCGGTTCAAACAAAAGGACGCAAACTCGCCCCACAGAAGACCAGCGAGCACGCGGAAGCCAACAGCGAAGGCCACAAAAATTAAACATAACATACCGAAAGCGACACGACTCAGCAGCCTTTCATCCCCGTACGGACAGTGGTTTCCCCCGGGTCCTCAGATTCCCTCAAATGCCTTTAAAATATTCTGGTCTGACTGACAGGTACCTAAAATTTCCCTAATGTATTATACAAGGTAAAACCTTCTTTACTACAGTACTTACCAACAACAAGACCCATGTTCTGCTAGATTTGAACCCACCATGACCTACAGGCCAGGACAGCTGGAGAAGCCTGACAAATTTATTATGATCGACCAACCATTATTTCAAAAGTGTTAAGCCAAGAAAAATGGACAAAGATGGAAAGGCCCTCTGCTGGAAACATCTAGAATGTCTGGAGATGCGAAAGAACTTTGATTAAGATCAAAGTTGTACGGTTCAGCTTCTTGAAAATTCCCGTTTTCAAGCCAAGAAAACTGGCGGAGGCTATGGGATACGTACAGCTCCACCGCTGCCAGGAGCTGCAAGAGGTCTCCTCCGTTCATGTAGTACAGGTAGAACAGCAGGTCTTCTCCATACCGTGGCAGCTTTATCTGAGCCAGCTGTGGGAGGGAGCAGGAAGACGTGGTCACTCCAGTGCCATCACATGGTCAGTCACATGGTCACAATACGCCACAGCATCATCACAGACCCTCCATCAGAAAGCAGTAAAAGGCCAGGTATAAAGCACAGCTAGACAATTCCTGAAGTCCTGGAACTAACTGAATATTCTATAATCAATCTTCAGCACTGTTTGACCCTGAAACAGGAAGGGATGTGAGACAAGCCAAGAATGAGACTCAGATTAATACATTCAATGACTGCAATAACTAATAAATAATGATTCAAAGATATATCGGTGAAGTGAGCTTCCCAGGCTCATCTTTCCTCCAGAGTCAGACGTGCTCAGCAGTCGCTGGCAGACGGATGTTTCAAAGAAACCCAGATGGAGCGCTTTGCTCAAGGAGCCAAGTCAGACTTCAGGACCTGAATCGACAACCTTGCGGTCACAAGTCAAGTCACTTGCCTGGAGACCCATGGTCAATGTTAAACACACCCCCATTAAGAACTTCCGAAGAGAAGCTTCAATTACATTAGCATTGCAAATTGCCAGCTTTTACAAGCGCCCACTTCAAAGTCCCATTCCTTCAGACAGGTCTCAAGGTGAAAGGGAAAACCGAACAAGCAAGTCGAAGGCAGTCAAAGGTAACATTTAAAGTTATTTATATGGGTAGTAAGTGTAGATTTATCAGGAAAAAAAAAACATTAGAATATATGCAAATTAACAGTGACACAATAAAACAAAATTTCTTCCGTTCTCCAAAAAGTTACTGATGTCTTTCTTGATCAGCATCTCTTTAGTCCCCAAACCTCTCCTCAGGGGTACCCCAGCCATTCTATGTATCAGTTAAACTTGTTAAACACCACCAGCTCACTCAATTAACTTAATTCCTTAAATCATTCAGTGTGGTATTCATTAGGCAAACAAGGTGTGCTAGTTGTCGGCTAAAACATATAGACAGGTGTATTGAATGGTTCCTGCGGAAATCTGGGGTGACTTCAGGAGAGGTTTGGAAATGGCTAAGCTGACACCCTTTGACAGACTGAATATCATAGTTTCATACCAACATGAAGATCATTTAAATATCATTTTCTCTGTCTGCCTATGACGTTTGCATGGTACTGTAAGTGTGTATATTTTAAGACGTCCAGGTGTATTTTAACACCCAAGTTTGAAAAGGGAAATAAACTTTATTGGGCCTAGTTGCTACAAAGTAAGGAGGTAACAAGATGGTAACTAGTGACTCACTTTAACCATGTAAAATACACCTACCTTATCCCTTATGTGAATGTTGGTTAAATATTCCGATGGAACGTGGAAGTCTGGAAAAAGGAGAGAAACACGTCAGCTTCCCACTGGCTCCTTGATGGGGCACCAAGGCCCTGATTCTCATGGACCTGGACCACTCACCGATATCCTGAGGTCGACACGGCGCTGATGCCCACGGAGAGGCGAATTTGGGGTACAGATTCCTACAAGGCAAGGACAGAGGAGAATGACAGGCCTAAGTATGCTGGACAATGACAATCGAAACACAGAGAAGGGATCTGCAGGTCTGACGGGCTGTCTGAGAGAATCGGGGGGGGGGGGGTGTGTGTGTTTTCCCCCGCTAGCCTTCAGAAGGGCCCCGGGGTGAGCAGCCTGACAGGCAGACAGATGCCACGTGGGTGATGGATGATTCCCTCCGCCGTTACCTTCCCCCGACTCCGAGGAGAGAGCAGCTGCATGCAGAGCCTTTTCAGGACACGCTCTCCGTCACGGACACGCTTCTCCACTAAGAAAGCCCTGCCACGCAGCTACGCTCCCGTCTTCTGGGATATCACAGTAGACACCTCAGATGGCAACACCGTCCCGCCCTGCCCCTACAAGAGCGCTCATCCAAATGTGCTTCAGAGCAACTGAAAACCGTTTGTGCCCTTATGTCACGTTTTAATCACTAATGAACAAGCATCGAATCAAACCATGGTCTGATGTGTGCCTAAAAATTTGAATAGATATTTTTAGAGTATAGTCATATTGTTGCATTCTCCTCCAGCCCAAAACAAAGTACTGACAGTCCATTACTTCAAAAAAAAGCTTTAATAAATGGCTTTATTTCATAGTTTGAAGAGGTGTCACTTGTCAGCTTTCATGCCTGCAATAATACGTCCTACTAGACTCTGAGCAGGACACACTGCTACCGGTTCCTTAACAGCCAGTCAGCCACATTCTGCTGATCTCCTGGTAAAGGCAGCATCAATGTCTGACATTTACTGCCCAGACTGAAACGTCAGATAGAGCAGGGTTTCTCAACCCGGTCCTCGGGGACCACCAGACGGCCCATGTTTTTGCTCTCTCCCAATTCCCTGCCAATTGGGAGAGAGCAAAAACGTGGACCGTCTGGTGGTCCCCGAGGACTGGGTTGAGAAACCTTGAGATAGAGGATTACATGACAGTAGGGGCTTAGCAGCCATCTTTGCTGGGGCGATGATGGGGCGGTCACCTGCTGACATACCCTCACACTTACAAAGTGAGGGCGTGGCCTGTCCGGAGACAATCAGGAAGCTGGTGACTCACCCAGTCTATGATAATGTGGCTCAGGGCGTGACGGCTACCTACTCGGGAGAGTTGAGGTTGAGTCCTAGTGTTGTCAAGTCGCTGCCCAATGCCAAGTGCACCATCCCAGGGTCCGTCTCTGCCGCCCGGATGAACGTTAAAAGTCCGATCATCCCAAACTGGTCCGTTACCATCCCAGAGGGAATGTTCGTTACCCGGCCTGAGGGTGGACAAGACCAGAGAAGAGTCACTTTTTGGACTGCAGTGACAACCATATGATTCAGTCATAATATAAAGAAGAACCCATTCATTTAAGTGCCTGCATGTTATTAGCGATTAGACTGCTAAACGTCTGGGTGCTCGGGTATCGCGGATACGCTCCCGCTCCCGTCAGAGGTGAAGCTCACCGTCCGGTAACACCTGGATCCCTTTCTTCTGCTGGTTGTTGTTCTGTGCTGTTGAGCTCTTGTCTCCAGGGAATTTAGGCCCATCTGTACTAGATGAATTCTTGCCTGATGAGTTTAGATTCTAAGAAACACGTCAAAAAAAAAAAAGAAAAACACGACTCAGTTGGCAGGTCCGCCATCTAAGAAAGTCACACGCTTTCTGGTCACCCTCCATCTGAGCGTGATGTTTCCAGTTATGATCTACCCTGACAGCCAGATCCACACTATCTGACTGCTTCTGACAGGCTGGGATGGGTGATGTCAGTGGAGCCCCATATGGCTGCCCCAGTCAAGGGAACGGGTTTACACAAACCAGTCTCCGTACTTTCACTGGTGGATATAAACTAGCACACTGCAGTAAACTGTGGTACTTAAGAGGCATCGCACTTGCTACATTATGTAGAAATCAAGAATGCACGAAAACTAAAATACAGACGCTCCTCTACTTATGAACGAGATACGTTCCGAATGGCCATTCGTAACTTGAAATGTCCGTAAGTCGTTATTCAACATCATTTTAAGGGTATACGCAAGTACAAAGAACTAGGATGCTGGGAGTACGCACGCTACGCTGCTGCGCGGTGGGAGTAGATTAGACTTTATTAATCCCACAATGGGGAAATTCTTTGAGCGGCCAGAAGTCATACTAGGCGGAATTGGTGCACAGGAAAAAATAAATAAAAAATGTTGCGAACAGGAAACGGGACCCAAGGAACACAATTTGGACTTACAGTTCTCTTCGTTCATATGTCTGAAAGTTTGTAAGTTGACAGCTCATAAGTAGAGGAGCATCTGTATACGTTGAACTGATGTTTTGTGGCTCTCCTAGCACTCCACCATGAACAGAGCATTAGAAGAGCGGCCTGCGGCACTCACCGATTTGCTGTCGTCGTTACTCGACGTGGGGTCCTTGTAGTTGGCACCTGGCAGTGCAGGGAAGTCCTCGTTGTGGATGGAGAAGTCTTGGGATGGCTCGTTCGATGGCTTTGTGACCATGCCGACTGGAGGACAGGAGGAAGACCCTTACTGAAAAAGCTCTCACTGACATTAACATTTGATTTATTAATGGATTGATCAAGGCTCAGTTAAGTTTGACTGAGAACCATTATTCTGATATGACCTTGAGGACAATTAAGGGACTGCACTCAACTTCAAATATAGGACGATAATTCATGCATTCATTTACTTAAATTTATTCATTCATTTAGTCTCCTACTAATCCCTCAAGCACATAAAAACGTACATAATAGATGGCTATGACTATAAAAAACAGATGATGACTTGATGGCCCGGTGGGTAGTGAATAGTGGCGGTACAGTACATGCAGTACAGGAGTCATACCGTAAGGTGCTCTCCCAGCTAGCGGGTTTAGCAGCGGGGTGTGGTTGCCACTCCCTTCCCGTCGACTTCTGTCCGCTAACGCCGGAAAGTCTGATAGATCCAGGCCCGTCACGTTTTCACTCCCGTCTACGAAGGAGGCGACAAGGTCACGTGTCAGCAGGGCAAAGGCTGCAGCAATGAACAGCTGTGATCCACACCAACCAGTGTTCTGGGTTCTGATCCACTATAACACTTTCCCAAACCAGTCCTTGGGGACCCGCGGACAGTCCACATTTTCGCTCCCTCCCTGCACTGAAACATTTCAATACTGAGATTAAACCAACAATATGAACCAATAATCCAATGAGACTCTACAGATTCAAATGGGAACCTATATTAAGCAGATTGTTGTAAGGTATATAGTATTTTTTTAAGTTATAAGCTCAGAATATTTGATCAAAACAAACTGGAATTTGGAAACGCACAAGTCTTTTGATACATGACCCTTAAGTTGTCTTAGCTGGTCCAAAACTTTGTTGTTCTTCAGTCATTCTGACCTGCAGCTGAGTCTCAGATTATTGTCTTTTAAGGGATCCTTCATGACCTGATGTTAGTCCCTGTCTTTCGCATCCAAGTGCTAGTGCAGCAAATCATCCCTAATCACACACTGGCCCATGGAACATTCTTCCAGAACTAAGCAAAGAAACTGGCCTGTGGCAAGCCTGAGAGAATGAATGCTCTTCTCCTTGGCTAGCTGGTCTTCACAATGCCACTCTGCTATGTACCCCATTGTTTCTCAGGATCTTTGGGAGGGCAGGAATGAGAAGACCCCAGACCCCTGGGTGTTCTGCCAAAGTTTTTGGAGCCTTCATGGATGATGTTAACAAACCAGAGTTAAGCTAGATTCATATTAGGCAGTGCTGGCACAAATTCTACCGAAGTACTGAAAGAAATTACCTTCATTATCCATTTAATATTTCACCCCAAATGTTGCATTTAGATGGTCATATTCTTCCATGTTACAAACAACAATATAGATATTATACCAATGGGTCGACAAAAAAGCAGAAAAATCAGATATCAAGCATTTCATAGTCCTGTTAATAGATGGCAGTAGGCAGCAGTACATATATGATGCATAATCCTAAAACCAACCATCAGCAGATGCTCTCCCTACATAAGACAAAATGCCCTCACAATGAAGACGGAACCAAAGTGATCCTTACTGACATCATCCTGAGATGTTTTCCTCCCACTAAGAATTTTTCCAGAAAGAAAAGACATTCAAAAGCCTAAAACACGTAACAGGGGAATACACCGGTGTCATCATCCTTTCCTTTCTTCAAGTCCATTTGTCAGCCCACATCTAACAGGTATTCCTGGCTATGAAAAGCACAATGAGGACCAAGAGGTTCCGTATGAGGTGCTGAGGCACCAGGAGTTAATGGAGCGTCGTGCTGAGTTCCACAGTCGCCTGTCTAAGTGCCGATTCAGCTGATGCTCACTGATGTAGATGCCACAAGACGGGGAAAAAAATTCTGGGGTAAGACATTTGTTAGGGCCACTTTCTATAAAATAGTTTCCTTTTACCATGTGACAGAACTGCGACTCCTGTCATCAAAGACAGTCACTGACAAGGTGAGGATCTAAATAATTACCAGGTGAAAAACTGACAGTAGGAGTGATTATTTCAGACAACAATCACTGTTTATTAAAAGAGGGATAAGCTGATCCACATTCTTTCAGTTTCGATCTGGTTCTGATACACATCTGCCGATACTAATAGAGATTCTGATACAAGATGCTTTTTACTTTAATTTTTCAATATAATATATGTATAACAAGTATATACATAATATAATGTATACTAGTAAATACAAATGAAAAAAATGTATGCCAAAAAATAATTTAATTAGGCTACAAGAATCATACATAAAGTGCTGTTCCACCTTGATTGTACATCTTGTTTTAAGTGTTGAGGCATTTGCAGTTCAATTTGAAGCGAGTATAACCCTTGGAGTACTCCAAGCGAATATACCCAATTGGCGAATGCTTAAATTGCCCCACAATTTTTCTCCCACTGACGACAGCATCATATAGACTTGGTTGTGATGGCAGCCTCTCCAGTAGCACAAGCTGTAGCGAGTGAGCAAAGCAGCCCAAGCTAGCGACTCCCAAATCATCCACTGATTTTTTTCAGATTACTCGCATTGTCTCGCAAAATGGCGTGCTATTTGTTTAGTGAGATTTTCCACTAAACACTACTTATACCTCTTAAAACTTTGTTTTTACAAAGATTGCACATCGCTGCGCTACTAGTTCTTCTTAAAAGCATAAAATACCCCCAGATCGTCACGTTCTTATCTTACGCTCCTCGTACTGCGAAGGGTATGCGCATGACATCACAGCAGGAAGTCACCGCACTCATACCCACTGAGTGGCAAATAGACTGAGGGGCAGCGTTAGCTTTCAACTTGAATGCTGCAAAAAACACATCTAAAATGGGATTGCACAAATCGATTTAACACGAAATAGGAGCTATCTTTTTACTGACGAAAACTAAATAAGTAAATATCGGACGTGGATCAGTCACATATGGCCCATACCTCATCAATCTAACAAGTCTGGATCAGTCCCGATACCGATCTGAATATCGGATCGGTGCATCTCTGCATTAACAACTACAACAAAAGCAAAAGACTTTTTTAAAAGGTTAGAACTATACAAAACGTTTGTTTGTTTTAGTACTGTGCATTTAATCATCCCGTCACAGTTGTTCCTGCATGTCGATGCAGAGTAACGCTATTGCATTGAAAATGCTCCTGGAAATTCTCTCTCCTTATCAACTCTTCAAAAGAATCTAAACAAAAATTATTAAACTTTTCTTTTCTGAATTTCGATTAAAAAAAAATACAAAATTGGTGCCACTTTACAATAAGGCTCCCATTTGCCATTAGTAAATGGTAGTAACTCATTAATAAAAAGAAAAGTTTTGTAACTTGTAAAAAAATATTGTCTGGTAATAATTCACAAAGTGTTACAACCTGATTCATAACCAGATTATAAACCCTTTATATGGCCTTATTGTAAAGTGGCACCAAAAAACTATAATAAGTAAATCACACCCATGGAAAGAGATTCTCTCCCTCGTATAACTAAGGAGGTCACATCACATTCCACATCACATTCCAGGCACTCAGACATGGGAACCCACTTGGAGCAGGAACCTGAACCATCTCCCGTTGCTCCATGCCATCCATTCCACACATTTCCTTCTAAAAAGTCGATAAGGATCAGGTACTGATAGCAGTGTGGGCAGAGTGACTGTCTGACTCCCTCTCTCCTTCCCGTCTGGCCATTTACTGATGCAATCCATGCTTTTCCTAAAGGCTGAAGGAACATGTGAGGGACCGGGTCCTCCCGCTGTGCCCCCGTGTCTGACAGAACCAGACAGTACCTTGGAAACGGCTGTCGTCTGCCTCCTAAGTTCCCACCTGAGTCCCACGGCTGATGACACGGCGGGAAGGCTAGCAAACCCCCGGCTGGCACAAGGGGAGCACCAGCTGCAGCTGCATATCTCATAGCCCATCTGCGCCTTGCCTACGCTCAGCGTATGTGCCGTTTGGAGCGAGTATCCCAGCATGCTCCTGTGCATCTCCAGCGAGAAGCTTCGCTGTTGGCTGACCTTCCATTAACTTTGTTTACCCTGATCCTTGTAGGTTTACTGTGACAGTGGGTCAGCTTTAACAAAAAAGCTCAGTCTGGCAGATGAGTCTATGGGTACTCTGTGACGCTCCACTGGCATTCCCTGTGGCGAGAGCCCCGAGGAACACAGGACGGCCGATCCCAGCGGCTCAGCCAGAGCCTGGAGAAGCAAGGGACGGCTTTGGGTGGTGACCACAGGCCGCTTACCTGTCCCGTTAAAGATGTTGCTGGAGATGGAGCTGTTCATGCCAAACGCCTGGTTCCTGTTCATCCCAAAGCCTGACATGCTGCAAAGACAGAGCGAAATTAGCAACCACCCCGTCATAGCTCGCAATCTTGCCCACCTTCTACGCCAACACCAGTTCACCCTGACACACACACACACACACACACACACACACACACAGCAGATCAGTACAATGACGACTGATTACGTACCCATCCAGCCCAGTAGACGCATCGCGCTCCCATAAAGGTCGACGCTACGGAGGTCTAGCCTCACTGATTAGAGTTATAACCATAGTTGAAGAGCCTGACCTCTTCCTCTCGACCTGCCAACTTCGGAGGTTCCGTAAGGGACTCTCCCATGCCACAGGAGACATGTGTGAAGGTCCGTGACACAACTCATCCGCTCCACACTCCTAACCCTAACCCTAACCCTGCCCTTCGAGGAGTGCTCAGTGGACCGAGAGCATAGACTGGGAGCGGTCCAAGAGTGGGCCGTGGTGAGGAGTCGGCATACACTGCATTCTGGTCAAGGACGCATGTGAAAACATGAGCCCTGTACTGGAGCATTAGCTGTGGCTCACGTCCAGAGCGAAGGAACACAAAATCAGCCAGCAGAGGGTGCAGTATCTATCCAGGGCAGCTCCACTGTCTATAAAGACAGCATGCAGACACCTGCTGCTTCCATGAAGAATGCAGAGAGGCAGCCCCCATACTGTGTGAACTGGATAATTACGAATGCATGAGTGAGTCTCCGACAGCTAATATGCACCCTAACGCGGCACCCCGGCCTGGCGACAAGCAGTCCCTGCACACACGCACGGGTACGCACAGACGTGCACACAGTGGGGCCGTAACAGCTGCCACAATGGCCCCTCTGTACAGAAGGCAGAGATCCAGGATTAGATCCACTGCAATTATGTTTTGGGGCGGCACTTCCAGCAGGAAACACTTTGCACTGCGCTGGAAACTGGAGCTAATAATTAGCAAATAAAGAGCAAAGGGAAATAACACCCACACTATGGCCTCCACTCCCCACTAGCAGAGCTCACTGGCCTGCCGGAACACTGGATTTTCGGAGGCATAAAGGGGGAAGAGGGAAGCCTCATCCTGCTCTGTAGTCAGGCCGTCGTGAAACCACTGACACCAGAAACTGATCGCAGGCCTGTAGACAGACGCTCGCTAAAGACGCCAGAGTTACAGACCCTTAAATAGGACCCTCGGTTCCTGACTGCCAATCATAACAGGGTGGCAGCCATTACGGCTCAGGATAGGGCAGGGCTAACCAATGGAGGAATAACCACGTGACGTGCCAGCCACGTGTCCGCCAATGAAGAGCGGCCTCTAGGTGTGACACAAGGGCACAGGCCCCGCCCTTCAGCCACCATTAGTCAGCACATGACTAATTACAGTGAAACAAACCTTGCGATCGTAACGCTAATCAGGCACGGGCTAGGAGGCTGAAACAGCTGAAATTATTAACCCACCATCGCGCGCGAAGTGCCGCGTTCAACAGCGAATTTAAAGCCGCAGGCCTGCGAGCGGAGACGGAGAGTGGGGATCGGCTAAGGGAAAGGAAGAAAAACAAGGTTCCTGCCAGGAACCAGACCTGCCGCCCAGGGGCGAGAGAGTGACACGAGAGGTGCCGGGGGGGGGCCCGCTGCCGGTACCTGTTGATGGTGAAGGGTTGCCGTGACGGCTGCTGCTTTGGCATGCAGATGATGCTGGGGGAGCTCCGGCTGGGGCTGCCCAGGCCTGAGCTGCCCATGCTGTTGGTGCGGCCCGTCAGGCCGATGCCCTGGCCCACCTGAGAGTGGTTCATCATGTTCCTCGTGTTCATGGGCAGGATTCCTCTGTGGGAGGGGGGGCAGGATGTCAGACGTCGTAGGTTACTCAACGATTGGTGAATGAGCTTCGTTAACAGATTCAAATGGCGTGACGTCATGCAAAACTTGTCAAGCACAGCACAAAAAAATTATTTTTTCCACACACTCTTTTCCACAACCATTTTCCCAGTCATTATTGCAAAAAACACCAAAGTCTGAAATAAATACAAGCTGTTTATCTACAGTATGGCAGTGACTAATTAAAACCTATTCTCACCAATAAGGCTACGTTCACACTGCCGTGCCGAAGTGACTCAAATCGGATTTTTTGCCTTAATGTGACACAGATCTGATCTTTTCAGGGCTGTGTGGACACACAAATCTGATCTTTTCAAATCGGATTTGTCTCACTTTCATATGTGGTACTAAATCTCATACTCGTACTAAAATTCGCGGCCATGCGACCTGAATGTGACGCTCAGATCGGAATTCATGTGGCTTTTTGCTTATACGCTGACAGAGGTACTCCAATGTAGCCCTCGACATTCTGAAGTTCTCTACAAACTGCTCATCTGTCTATCCATCCACATCACGGTCCCACCATTGCTGACTCCTTTCTCGTACGCACACATCTCTTGGTGCAGCAGTTCCAGCAATAACTGCGAAAACTGAAAAAGCTAGCCGCCTGAATTTTTTTTCTCCTTTTCAACCTGCTCATGTACACCTGATTCACTGCTTGTCATCCTCCAGAGCAAAGTGGGATTCATGCGGGAGCTACTAACGCCTCCATTTTTAATGCCATGAGGCGTCCCACAGATATGACTGTTTTTGTTGTTGGTGACACAGTTGACCAGTGTAAAAACGTATCAATGTGCGCATGCGTGACGTTTCGGAGGACCGATGCGTTCACATTACAGTCAGATACAGGTCACTTGTAGTTATGAATGTGAACTGTCAAGATAGACAAATCCGATCTGAGCAAAAAATCAGAATTGAACGATGTGGCTGGCAGTGTGAGCGTAGCCTTAGGGTCAAACAGGCCACCCTCTAGGCATCTCGTAAGGGAATGGTCATAAGTGCTGATTGGCAGGCACCCCAGCCAATAGAAAGAAAGGGCCGAAGCCTACCTGCTGGGCGAGGGCGGAGTGTGGAGCGACATGCTGGGCACGCCTGTCGTGGGGGTCACATGGCTCGATAGCTGGCTGCGGTTTAACTGAGGATTGTTGCTGCTCATGCCCCTTACTGGGAAGCCTAGTGCACCTGGGGGGCAACAGTGGAAGGGGAGAGGGGCAGGTTTGAATGGGGGTGTCTCTGGGGGTCATACCACTTACACAAATTAAAACCTCAAGCAATCAGGCCAAAAGTTCAAGTCCAACAGGAATTTGAAATGAAATGCCTTTCAAATCTGGCTTTTTTTTGTTTTTTTTAAAAAAAGAAAAGTTTCTCTATGGTCAAAAATCTGCATGATTTAAAAACCACTAAACTAAACCACAAACTGCACATTTCCAAGAGCAGTTAAGAATAATAATCACAGCGATGCAGTTGCTGAGATACAAGCCAGCCATGACAGATTCCAGTCTCCATTTATTTATTATTTTATTTTATTTAAGGTTACCTTCATCCATTTCACCATAAAACATCCATCACATATCACACTGGCCTGTCCGGCCTGGACCTGTCACAGGCCTGGTGCCACAACGCGAGCTAGATGCTGGAGCAGAGGAGGGTCAGCGCTGGATGCTGACAGGCCATGAGTGACGGCCCTCAACTCCGCTCCAGGAGGCCCTCCCCGGGGGCCCCCACCCCATCCCTGGAAGAAGGCTAATTACACCCCACTGCTGTCAACATCCTGGCCGCAGAAGTATACGGACATCGCTTAGATCCAGCCCGGGCTAGGGGTGAGTCTCAGAAAGGGGGGGGTGATGCAGGAACAGGTCAGAAGAGAGCAGAACAGCGAGCATCACGTGGGAACGGCTATATGTGTCTGTGCCCATACCTCACTGTTAGCATGGTAAACAGGTAACCAGGCCTTTGGGGACTGCGGCTGCTCGTTGCTCAACAGAAACTAAGCAAATGAAACATTTGTCTTTCAAATAGAAACTTTAAAAGGGGACTATTTTAAATAGAGCCATATTAATGTTAATAACTTGTCTTTCCAAACATGGGGTTCATCTTCAAAGAAGCTCGACTGCCCTGAGCCTCCAGCATTCCTGACAGAGCTTCAGCCTTTAGTCAAACCCTGCTGCGGGAGACGTTTCCCTCATCGGAGGTCGTGCTGCAATATCTGCCGGGTCCAGGGCCGCATCCGATGTTTTGTCAAGCACACAGAGGGATGTGGGATCGCGGCAGTGGAGAGGGGAAGCCACGTGGACCACCGCGCAAGGAGGGGTGTGCTTACCACACACACAAACGTGGGACCTCTCCGGGGACAGAGCGGCAGGTATCTATGGCAACAGCACCCGCCTCACTCTCTCTGGACCACAGTGTTCAGAATGTATGCTTCCTAAAGGCCATTCATCTGCTGGGGGCTCAGCGGGTTGGAACGTTATTCTTGTGATCAAAAGGTCACTGGTTCAAATCCCAGGGTTGGCTGAGAGCGAGGCCTTTGAGCCCCAGTCATTCCAGGGATTGTCTGACACTCCTTTGCTTTCTCAAAAATGTACATCAATTTAGATGAGAGTTTCTGCTAAATAAACGCAATGTGAAGGAAGAATATAATAAGCAGAAAAAAAATGCAACTGTCATTTGGCCAACATGAAGTCACACAGACCCAAGTAATGAGATCTGATAAAGACTCCAAAGCAGCTTCAGCAGACACCGAAAGCGGCAGCCTCTCCTTATAGGTTTTAACGGAAGGCACCTGAAGCCATTCGGCGGCGGTGACCCAGGGGTACTTACTTTGCTGCCCGTATAAACTGGCACCAAGCTGGGACAGCTGACCTGACGATGAGGGCGACGGGGATGCCAGCATCTGGAAGAAAGTGGTAGATGGAGAGGTTGGATTTCAAGGTAACGGAATAGAGGGAGTACCCTGAAAATCAGGCAATCACCTTAAGAAATAAGTGCTGATTTGTCTTAGAGTTTTTGCAAATAAATAAATGAATGAATGAATGAATGAATGAATGAATGAATATAGAAATAATACACAAAACAGCAGCATAAAAAATGAGATACACAGATTTAATGTAGCAGACAACATAGGAGTGGGGAGCATTTGTACCAAAAAAAAATTCCAAAACCAGTAAATCAGTTTACAGCACAGCAGGCAAAAGAACAGGTGGTTCACTGCCAAATGAAAATGAAAGGTGATTGTCTGATGGTGACATGGAGTAACAGGGCAGAGCAGGCTCTAGTGTGATCTGCAGGGCACAGACTGGCAAACACCTCAGCTGGAATCACCACCACTTTGTTAATGATGGGATAATTGTCAAGGTCTGGTTTCTATGCCTAAAATGCAGTGTAAGCAGTGCAACCTAAAACCATGCGACTGAAGGGAAAACCACAGGAGGAGAAAAATCTGCACAATTCAAGCAGCCATACTGCACTTTTTGGTTAAACTGCTATGCTAAACTTCAGCATGGATCCCACCTTACTGCCTTCTCAGCTAAGAAACAGACATTTACCTCCACATTAGCAGCCATTGTGGTGCCTTTGACAAAAATCATTAATTTTTATGGGGAAGAAACTGCCATATTTCTTTAAAACTTTGCTGACTACACAGACCAAAATAGCAAATAACAAACAGCCTGATCAGCATTATGGCATAGCAAAAAAAAAAAAAAAAAAAAAAGCTGATGCACCAAATCTAAATGCTTCCTTAAAAAACTTCTGAAATGCGTAGATTTTCTCAGATTCCCTTCTCACCTGTCATCCGAGTACAGCTGGTGAAAATCAGTATTTTGTACTTTGTATTAAGGAAAAACCCAAATGACTGACTATGCAGAGACATGGAGACACTTCTGGGTCACAGCGGTTGGAGCATAAAGAGAATTCACCTTAAATAAAATCACTCGCTTGCTCGCACGCCACTCTATTCTACCTCATCACGCTCCTTCTCTGCTCTATGAACATACCAGCCTCATCTCGACATCACATCCACTGTCACGCTTACACACCCAAGGCGCACACAGGCCTTACTTCAGACCTCGAGAACACACCCCGGTTCAGTGCTTCTCAACCCATTCCTCAGGGGACCACCAGATAGTCCACAGTGTTGCTGCCCTCCCAGCTCTCAGCCAATCAAGAACTCCGAATACCAGGTACAGGTGTGCTGGGAGCTGGGAAGGAGGAGAAACATGGACTGTGTGGGGTTCCCCGAGAACTGGGTTGGGAAACACTGCCCCAGAATACCTGCACAAAACAACTTGGTTGGGAGGGGCGTAGCGTCCTTCCTTGGGAGTCGTGTCGGCATGACACTGAAGCTTCAGTGAGGGTGCATGAGCAGCACTAGGCTACTTATAGACTGGTGTGGAGGCCGTGTTTGTGACCCCAGGAAGGGACGAGGAGGGTTTGATCCTCCCGTACTTAGAATGCAGAATATCAGAGGAAACCTCCTACGAAATTAAAAGAAGGGCAGTGAGGAGGGAAAAGGCCATATCTTTTTTTTTTTTTTTTTTAGCTGAAAGCATGTGAAAAATTGAGCCAATGAAGTCAATTAACAAGCCAGAACTTCACTACTGGCGGCAGGAAGACTCAGAACAGCCTCCCATCTGCCACCTGTTTACCAAAGACTAAAGGGAACATGTAGCCAAAGGCTAACGGATAAGCAGATAGCCCAATGCTAGCGGATAAGCAGGAAGCCAAAGGCTAACGGATAAGCAGGAAGCCAAAGGCTAACGGATAAGCAGGAAGCCAAAGGCTAACGGATAAGCAGGAAGCCAAAAGCTAACGGTAAACTCATTTACATTTACCACACAGTCTGATAACTGATAGCTAGTCCAACACTACCCCGATGTGGCACATATGCCAAAGCAGTAGAGGCAGGTCTGCACACGCAGACACACACACAGATTCTGTCATCCTTTCACCAACATTTCACCAACATCCCCGTACAAGTACTGTGATCCTGAAACATGGCTGGTGGGCAGGAGTGAGTGAGGGGGAGAAACGGCACCCCCCTGTGGCAGCAATCAGGGCCCACATATCCAGACTATCCAAAGATATTACTGGAGACCTTTATGAAGAGCTCCTGGGAAACCTAGAATTTCTTTTGGCGGCTTTTGGGTGGCAGCTGCTCTCAGCTGTCATTCCGGGATTTCAGGGGAACCGATATCGGGAAGCGTGATTTCTCTCTTTAAAATTACAGCTGAATGGAAACTTGCAACCAACACAGAACAGTCTCACCCCATCGGTGTGCAACCACCAATATCCCCCTGAGAGCTCACATAAACGGCTCACTGGGAAGTCACAAACACAGGCTGGTATACACACTACATTGTGAATTCCAGCTCTCAGCACAGAGCTCCTTGGGTATGCATTACTCAGGTTAAGTACTCGGTACTAAATACTCAGAGCCCCACCTGGGACTTAAATTTTCAACCTTAAGTTTGTGTCTATCTAAATGACTATGGCCCAGTATTCCAGATATGGATTTAATAAGTGCCCAGGGAATGTCTAACCACATGCCGTTAGACTTGGAACTGATATCTCACGCATTAACGGAGAGGAAAAAAAAATATTTCACCAACCAAATTCTACATTTTATGATGAAATCATCTGATGAGCTCTTTATTGATATTACATGGTATGGGATTTGGGCCAGAACAGGCATCTGATTTCTCCTTAGACATCAAACAGGTGTATACACATGGGAATCCTTATCCCTGTGGACAGAAATGAGGGAGTGTAGGCCTGCCGTTCTCCAGGACGGCCTGCACACCACACAGACTGTGAATAGATAGATATATCCTCCCTCACCTGCAGGCCGCTGACCAGAATCCTCCAGGTTTAATTCACCTAATGTAAAATAATCTGACATAATACAGTCTGACCTAATGCAAAATAACCGGAGGGAAAACTCGACTCAAAATAACATTCATAAAGAAGCTTAACCGATGAAACATTCAACCTGCAGATGACATGCAGACCTGTCCAAACACTGATGTTCTGTTTTGATGTTCTTAAACCAGTCTTTTAGGGTTGAATTACCACAAAAAGATCTTTGTTACTCTATTTACTACCACGGCCACACCTCACCCCAGGCCTTCAAGTCAAAGCACAGAGGACAGGAAGTCGAAAATAAGACAGAGTGGGTGGTGGACATACTTATGACAAAGGACTTTCAGATACGCTCCAGTATCCCGTTTCTCAACGAGTGCTCTGGTATTCCAGTAAAGCCGTGAAAACCACATGTACATTGAAAAAATAACATTTTGAAATAAACAGGCATTCACATGCAAATTTTGGATGTAAACACACAAGGATTCTTAGCATTTCAAATAAGGGCTACAACAGGGTCCTTCAACTCTGGACCTCGATTCCAAATCCAGGCCGTGTTTTCAGTTCCCCCCGGTAGTTGTTTAATAATTACCGATTCTGATTGGTCAGAGGCTTCACACCTGACTGACAGGTAAAGGAAGGCTGGAAAACCAGCAGGGCTCGGACCTCGAGGACCGTGAGTTGAATAACCCTGGGCTACAAGAAAGTGCCGCTATAGAATGAAGTTTAAGCACAAGGTCTGATTTATCTGCACATGTATGCAGATGTCAGTATATTTTAATGATCATTCACATGCCAGGAATCCAGCTTATACATCAAACTTTAATTTAACACGCTATCTCATAGTCAAATAACTGAAAATGTGCACAAATCACCTTCCCTGTGCAAACAGTCACTATCTATAAAAGGTACAGAGGAAGAAAATTTATCATTTACCATTTATCCATCCCCCCCCTTTTCTTTCTGATCAAAAGTTGATGAATATGCATCCAAATGAGAAGACAAGAGTCTTGCTGTGCAAACGAGGTCTGAACTGAAGCGCAGCTCAAGCATTTCTAAGTACTTGGTTTTCAAATGACATTCCAGAGGATTAATTACATCCATAGTAGTGACTACAGCGCCACCTCACAAACCTGTTTTGAAAACCATTAGGAGGAGACCGGGAAGCCATGGTGGCACTGTGGCGTCACGGTGCCAGGCAGCGCCACCTAAGGGCGACGGGCTCAAACTTACGTCTTTCTCCGATCGATGCGGGAACATCGAATTCGTGTAGTACATGCTGTCATCCGCGTAGTCGCTTTCGCCCCCCTCTGCAAACTTCTTTCTTGTAGCATTAAACATGCTGTTTGTCACCTGCAAGCAGAAAGGGAGAGGAGTCTAAATCATTACAGTCAGGAGTCACTCTGGGAAGACAAATAAATAAATAAAACAAAACAAAACAAACAAACACCCCAAGCCAGTGTCATGTGTAATAGCACCACCTAATGTAGACCAGTGGGCGGGGTCATAATAGAAAGCACCAATCACAGAAGGCCTAGGAGGCCCAGTAGAAGGGTGTCAGCGTCATAGCAGTACAAGATGGATTACCCATCTGAAATGAGCCCTTACATGACCAGCTCCTGGAAGCAACCTTATCTGTAAAAGCACATTGCCTCTCAGACAGCACAGAGGAAATGTGGACGATACCCAACCATAACGAGTAACTGACAGACAGCCTTCAGAAATGAAATGCCGTTTCCTGCGAGACTCCTCTTCAAACGAGTTAGACCGTGCTCAACAGCACTCTAACCCAGTCTGCCATGAGATAATCGTCAGACCGCTGCTGGCTAAGGGACTCAACTGGAAAATTTGGACATGCTCACCGCAGACTGAGCCCTTAGAGCTCGGACGACAGCTGAAGTCTAAGGTGTGTCTATAGCCAATCGCGGGCAGGAATTTCCCAACGAGCATGATGCAAGTGGTCCTGCTTGGAAGGGGAGGATTCAATCAAGCCGGGGAAAAAACACAACTAAGTGAATACTGTAGACTATGGGAGTGGGCCTCATTATCATTAAGGGATCCACTCAAAAAGAAATTGCCATTACCTTGTAGATTAAACTGACTCATCATGCTTCTCTGCACCATCTTCCTTCCAGAATGGCCTCACTCCTCACCCCTGGGCCATTAACCAACGGTTTGACAGAAAATGCATGAGGATACCATTATGTTAAGCAGCACCACAAAGCAGCAGAAGCTGCAAACACGCGTGAATGACTCACATTCAACAGACTAAATCCGAATCAACTACAGCTTTCAAGACGTTTTCCTAGAGTCCTTTTTGATTGAAATCCAAAGACCTGTCCCACTCGTTCCACTCTGAATATCACCCCGTATATGTAGAATGACAGGTGGAAGCATGTCTGATGCACGGAAGCCTCACCCTCTGTAAGCACCTGATTGAAAACCTTCCTGCTCAGATGAAGCACCCAGGAATTTCAGGTTAGCGCCCAGGAAGCATGAAAAGCCTCTTATAGTATCTCTACGAATGGTGATGCTCAGAAAGTCTCAGAAAGACCCGCGCGGGGATTCCAACAAGCCAGTAGGAAATCAGACCGTTTGTACCATCACATCCAGGTGGGAATCGCAGCCCAGACCGCGAGCCTTTTCACATCACACCGCCTTCTCGAGCTACGGTGGCCTAGAAGGAGCAGAAGGTACAGGCCGCGACCCGCTCCGTCACTGAGGTTTGGTCAGAAGGCAGAAGCAGGCCGAGTTACAACCGACGTACCCCTTTCTCTCAAGAGGAACCGCAACAAAAAGCTGTTGAGCTGTTACGAGCGGTGACCACCTCACAGGTAGTCTGCATACATGTCAAAACCATTTATACTACCCAATTAGGAAAAGGAAAACAAAAAAAGCAACACAAGCCCCATGGCTGCAAGCATTTGCAGTCAATCTGAAGCAGATGGGAACATACATAACTTTGGAGACTTAAAACATGCCTTCAAAGTGATTCCAGGTCAGCTATGCAGCCTGCATTGCCTGCCTGTTAAATCTACACAACAGGCCCTGTGTGTAACAAAGAGCAGCCTGTAGCAGCAGCCAGAAGTAAATCCTCCCACTCAGGAAGCAGTGACCGGGCTTCTGCCAGCCAGGTCACCTTTAGTGCATGAGCTGCCTGCAACCTTTCAGCAGTGGTTTGCATAAGAACACCATAACCCTAACCCAGACTCCTCCATCTCCAACAAAAGACAAGAGGGACTGATTGAGGGCCAGAAAAAAAGGGGGTGAGGTTAAAAATCCTGCCCGCCAACCACCTGCCTTTGAGAAAGCATCAGAGATCTCATGAAATCAGGCTTGTGACCCTGACCCAGCTGCAACCTTGAGAAAGCCATAGATGGAGCACATGCAGCCTCAGTAGCCTGACTGAGACCTTTAAAACATTCTTCTTATCACATGATTCAGAAAAGGCTGGAGTTCAGTTAAGCACCAAAAAAAGAACTTTGGGGCATTTGGCTGCAGGTCTCAATAGCAGACCTTTAAAAGGCATCAGGGCCGGTTTACCAAAGCGTAGACGAGAGCAGCCAGGCAAAAGCTTTCGTCTTGGAAACCACGTGTAATGGGCAGCAATAACATCCGGTCTATCAGAACAAATGAAAACGAGCAGAAGCCATAGAAATGAAGCTGAAATTGAGGAGGTTTAATACTTTCACCTCTGCGGGGGTTCACAGGCCGGGAAAGATGCACACAAAGCCTGCGAACTTCACTCACTCACACACACCAAGGCATGACATCCTTTTCAGCCTTTGGCCTCCACATGGCGAGAAACCACAGCAGCGGCTGACGGCTGATCCTGCCCAATACCGCAGTTTGACTCACTTAAGCGTATGGAAATGTGCAGGTCCGTCAAAAAAGCAAATCCTTCCTCTGCATCAGAAAGACGACCGGAAGCACCATGTGCAAAGTTACCATGTACTGACCCACAAGCATGTCTGAACTACAGGGAAACGGGTCGAGCTGTAGCAGGAGCCAGTCCACGGGGCTCACCTGACAATCGGGCCAACAAGTTAGCTAACGCATCATCCATCAAACCATCTTCCCACAATGAGAGGCAGCTAGGGTGAGGAGGGCAGGGCATCGTCAGGTGTGTAGCTGGACAGGTCCACAGGGCTGAATGCTCTCATTCATATCCCCTCATTAACAGAGAATAGCACCTGCAGCTGGAACAAGCAGCAGTAGCAAGATCGAGTAATAAGTCACAGTGAGCGGGTATACCTATCCTTATGGGGACACAATGTCCCCATAACGTGATAAATATCCGGTTTTTTACCTTATGGGGACCGGTTTCCTGGCCCCCATAATGAAAAACTCTATTTTATAAAAATCAGTGACTGCCATATAAAAACTAAAAATGCAAAAACTCTTGCATTTTGTCTGTTTACTTATGGTTAAGGCATGGTGGGGGTTATGGTTGTCATAGTTAGCGTTAGCATTTTTCCCATTGAAATGAATGAGCGGTCCCCATAAGGATATGTTTACCCTAC